ATATATATATATATATATATATATATATACTGTGTGTATATATATATATATATATATATATATATATATATACAGTATATAAGAACAAATAAAATGAACAAATTAAATTATTAGTTTGCCAAAAGTAGCAGACGGTTTTAATGCTCACCCAGAAGAGGACGGTGGCCCCGGACAGTACTGAACGAGCACACTTGCTGGTTAGAGGTAAATAAGGCTCCATCTCCTACACAGCAAGCAAGCAAAGCAGGGATCATGAGCAACCACCACCACACACCTGGCACAGGAGCCCTAAACTAGCACTGTACTAGTGCTGTCAGTGTCCACACGGCTCTCTACGAGGACTCTTCCCGTTTCCAATGAGTCATCTGCCATCTCTACAGTAAAGATTCATTCTACAACTACAGTCTTTCAAAGCTGCGATCACACTGCAAGCAGGCTGCTAATGCTACACACACTCTTACACACACACAGAAACCGATCTACAGTATCGTCGTCCTGTGCCTGCCTTACCCACAAAACAACAGTGGCCCAGCACAGGATAAACCTGCCTGCTTTATCAGCTGGGCTCTGGTCTAGAACCCACTCCTGTTCCTACACAATACGAACAAAGCCAAACAAACACGCAGATTATCTAGTTTCTCAGTTGGCTGGTGGATAAACGAACCTTCACTACCAACTCACCTTCCGTTTGTGAAATCACAACACCTGACTCTGTCACTTCATATTCTGCCCATTTTCTGTCAAATTAATATATTATTAGGACCTCAAGAGTTTTACAAACCTAAGATACTCATATGATGGTTTGAAATCTGATTGAATATGACTTTTGAAAATGAACACTAGGTTCTTCAGATTTGTCACTCAAGGTGATGATACATGGGGCAACTTTTTTGAGCAATGTTGCTTGGGCACTTTCCCATTGAGAATGGGCAACTGAATACTTTAGATCGGTCGTGGGCCCTGTGTCTCACCTGGTTGTCCGTTGACGGCAACATTGCTCAAAAAGTTGCCCCGTGTATTATCACCTTTATGGGCCGTTCACACAGAACGAATCGCTGCATCTAAAAACCTGAGACTTCTGATTGGTCCACTGTTTTGGAACTGACACTGATGAGGAGCGCTGCGTGCAAAAGTTGAAATTCTCAACCTAAAAACGTGGCGCTCATGTGCGAGAAGATGCAAAAGAAACAAGACGCGAGCACAGTGGTCATACACGTCCGTCTAGCGTGTGTTTACGTAGAAAAACAATGGAAAAGTAGCGCATTGGAATGGAAAAACACATTCTGTGTGAACGGCCCCAGACTCTTTCCACGTTTAATGAACTACTGTATGCGGCATTCACTACGTTCAGCTAATAAACACTGAAATTATGTCTTCCAAGACACTTTCTTGAGGATGAAAAACATTATAAACATTCAGTTTATTCAGTCTGGTTCTCATGAGAGCACTTGGAGATTTGGTTTGGTTCTCACACTGCACATATAGTGTGACTTATTAAATATAACTATTAAAAATAATCATAGTAATAAGAATATTATTGCACTTTATTTATTTCGTTTTTAAAAAAATCAAATGATAAACAAAATAAAGTGTGATAATACTATTATATTTTAAAATAAAAAGTGAGTA